CATGCCATTGCTAAACATTCATAGCGCGAGTTCTGCAAGTAAACCAGATTTGTTAGGCCGATGTCATAGTTTGCGAATCGAGCGATTCGCTAGCGAATCCGAACGTTGCACCAGCGAATCGAACTTTGCCAGCGAGTCGAACGATGCACCAGCGAGTCGAACTATGTACCAGCGACTCAATAGTGGCGGGACCCAACGTTCAAAGGAAGCCCGCCACTTTCAAACAGTGTCCACTGTCAAGTCCCGCCACTTTCAAAAAGGTCCACTGTCACGTGACACTGTTTGAAAGTGGCGGGCTTCCTTTGAACGTTGGGTCCCGCCACTATTGAGTCGCTGGTACCATAGTTCGACTCGCTGGTACATAGTTCGACTCGCTGGTGCAATCGTTCGATTCGCTGGTGCAAACGTTCGATTCGCTGGCGCAACGCTCGGATCCAGCGATTCGCTCGATTCGCAGAGTATGACGTCAGCCCTAGCGTCCTGTTTATCCCGTTAGCTGCCTTACCACTCCACCTTGCGGACGGACAGTCCGACAAACCTACATACACACAAACAAACCGACAGACCAAGGTTGTGGTATATGAATGAAGCAATAAATATACAAGGTCGCGGCTGCAATACAAAATGCGGAATAAAAGCTCATGGCAACATTGTAGAAACATCATGTACATTGCTGGAGCGCATTTAGAAAGGCCTACCGCTGCTCATCAATAGTAAAGAGCAAATTTAACCTATTTCGTTTTGAATGAGTGCGAAAAAGAATTCTTTGAGGTTTACACGTAGCTGCTCTAAACGAGTGCATTTCTTCTTTTTCTTCCTGAGTGGAGGCTTACGTTGCTGGTCTGCGCCAAAAGATGACCTGTGCACAGCTAATTTCTGTGTAAGGAGAATTCAACGTCAACAACGCACTTAACACTCGCCTACTGGCGTTCACATACTTCATATGTCCTACATGACGCTTCGCAGTTGTCTACCTCTTTTTTTTCGGCCTCTGTAAGCTATAAAGCATTCGAAGGCGATTTCTACGATAAAATGACCGCCCGTTTGAAATGGAATCAAAGGTGGTGGAAGCTGCAGTGGCGAGGAAGATTTGAGGATAGTTTGAGGATAGTTTTCCTCGGACTAGCTAGCGGCCAAGATAGCTCGCCCGCTCTTCTCAATTCCGTTAGTCAGCGT